GATCATTACCGAATCTTGTCCCTCACAGTTCCCCATTCACTGTTTGGTTTCCTGTCAACGTTTGACAACCCCCATTCGCGATACTGTATTATTATTATTTTTTTATTGCTAGTGGGGTGGGACTAAGTCCCTTGTACCGCGGCCACTTCTGGCCTATTGTACCAGCCCCAGATGATAGGTGCGGGTGATTGTGGAGCAATTGGTGGAATGAAGATTGGCAGGGGAAACCGAAGTACTCGGAGAAAACCTACCCCAGCGCCACTTTGTCCACCACAAATTCCACTTGACCAGACCCGGGCTCGAACCCGGGCCGCCGCGATGGGAAGCCAGCGACTAACCGCTTGAGCTATGGCGCGGCCCTCTCCTTGCCTTCGTCAGGTGAAAGTAGAATAGACCATTTGAGGCCACGGTACTAAGAGATTCACTCTCACCCATTTCTGTAATCAGACTATCAAGTAACGTGTAGGAGTAACGATCGAAGCTCGCTGAAATACTGGCATACTCGTCTCTCCTCATTTTAATCGTGATCAGTTTTACAATTCATTATCGCTCCCCCACCGTCAGAGTGGCTATTTGCCTCGTAATAAACCGAGCAGTGTCTTTAGTGAAGCGATGCAATTAACGGGTCATGACCCACTGCGCTTTGATTTGCGGCTGTGGGTACTGAATGACAGGCTTTTGAACCCATTACAGGAGTAGCAGCGTTCATTCAGCGAGACATCACGCGGACCATCATGGCTGCTCTTCACGTTGTTCCGTCTGTTTCAAAGCATTTCTTTCAGTCTTGTTAGAGAGTTACTGCATAATTTGCCACTGCCATGTGTCTTAATTTGGCTCTTCCTGACGACAGAAGAAGAGTTATATTAATTCAAGACGAGATTTATGACCCTGTATCATGTGCCTGGTTGTAATAGACGCCTCCGTTAGTACCATTAAAGCGAGAGTCAGTAACAGGCCAGAATAGAGGAGAGGTAAGTATCGACACAGCGGCAGATAGTAATTGTGGCAGGCAGAAATTCAAATAATGGTAAAATGTTGTTGTAGTTCTTTTCTATTTGTCTTCTCGTCTGCTGTCCAAAAACATAAAAATTAGAATATTCAAAACGATCATTTTGCCTATGGTTCTGTATGGGTGTGAAACTTGGTCTCTGACATTAAGGGAGGAACATAGACTGAGGATGTTTGAGAACAGGCTGTTTTGAGGAGAATATTTGTACCGAAGAGGTATGAAGTGACAGGAGGTTGGAGAAAACTGTATAAAGAGTAGCTTCATAACTTGTACTCCTCTCCAAGTATAATTAGAATGATCATGTCAAGGAGAATGAGGTAGGAAGGGCATGTAGCACGAATTTGGGAGAAGAGGAATGCATATAGGATATTGGTGGGAAAGCCAGAAGGAAAGAGACCATTGCGAAGACCAAGACGTAGGTGGGTAGATAATATTAAAATGGATCTTAGAGAGATAGGATGGGATGGGATGGTATAGACTGGATTGTTCAGGCTCAGGATAGTAACCAGTGGAGGGCTCTTGTGAACACGGTAATGAACCTTCGGGTTCCGTAAAATGCTGGGAAACTCTTGAGTAGCTGCAGATTTGGCTTCTCAAGAAGGGCTCAGCTCCATAAGTAAGTAAGTAAGTAAGTTTTTTTCAATTATATTATTACCTCGCCCGTATTGTCTTGCGTCAGTAATGACACTTTTCTTTCCGTACACAGGGGAGCTGGGCAGAATTCGTAAAGCCTACTTTCTACTTTCCTATTGAATAGAGTTATAGTCCTGCACGTCTGTTTATTATCGTTGTTTCATTTTATTTTTGTGAAAACTTATTACTCAAATACAGATTGTACCTACATCAAATTTCTCGGATATATCCTCGAAGTTTCTCACCATCGCCATGTTTGTAGTTGTTGACTTACAAACAGTACCTCACCCTCAAAATGCAGATATGTTCGTGATCTGTACCCATACCACATTTCACACATCAAACCATAACGGTTCGTTAGTTACCGCTTTCAAAGTGGAAGGTAAAAAGAATTTCGCGCATCTGCTGTGTTGTTGTTTACATGTCAGAAAAATTGCCTTTTTCGGTTTCTGCTACCATACACAATTTTAAGACTCAAAATTGTCATAAATTCACGCGTTCTTCATGTCTTAAAAGGTAAATTTAAAGTTGTCCCTATGTTTAATTTAGCCCCACACCATGAAGACGTATGGGGGAGTTGAGGTATAGCTCCATCATTCTGGACCTCGGCGTTATATGGATGTGAGTGGTGTGAGCTTCACGCCCCTGCCGCTTTACCCCTTGGGAAAGAGCCCTCAGTGCTCATTGGATAGGAGGCTGGGTGGACCCCATGGCCAGTCTAAACGCTGTAGAGTACGTATTATCGAAAGAAAGTGAAATATCTTTGAGCAGTTTAATCCCCTTTGACCTAATGCATATGCCCAGGAAGCCATTTTGTCTTATCTTAAATGATTTTCTAGTTAATATGAAAACTAAAATGGGCGATAGTGTAGAAGAAATACGAACTCTAGATGGTTTTCCTCTGGTGAGAAGAGATGTTGCGACTTTGCGGGTGACAGACGATGCTAATTCTTCGAGCGAAGTCGGTCGGTATATCGTTTCCGCTTACCCCCCCACACCACCGCCTTCTTATTCATCTCTGGCTAATGCATGTGTAGTGGCGGGCGGTAATTCTGACTGAATGAAGAATTGCCGCCATCTGTACGCCCGAGGCGAGACGTGGGCTACAGCTCGGATCAAGGCTCCAGCATTGCCGATGCTGATGAGGAGGAAGAGGGTGTTGTTTGTTAAGAGACGCGTGGTTTCAGATCGTGGCTCAACAAACCTGCTCGCCTGCTCGTCCTTATGGGGGGGGGGACTCAAGGCCAGCTAGTGGAAACGTCTCAAGAGAACACTATCTTCATAGTCACCGAAGCAGTTACTACAGCATGAGTAGGCGCGAGTTGAATGCTGTCTGACTCGTGAACTGGCCGAAGATTTATCTGCCCATGTTCATGAGGATGCCTACAAGATCATAGTGAAAGTAGATATTTGACAGAACTTTTATGGTGGTGATGATTATTATTTGGTTATTTAACGACACTGTTTCAATTGCAGAATAGGTGTAGGGTTGAATGAAGTGAGAAGATGGCAATGAATAGCGACTACAGAAGGATTTTGAAGGAGGCAGTCTTGGTGTATTTGAAGCCAGTATCCGAGCATTCACTTGAACAGTGAGGGAAATCACGAAAATATGAGTCAGAATAGCTGGTAGTCTGGGCGAAATTCGAACTTGGTACCAAACAAACAAAAACAAACTCCGTGGTTTTAGTCCGCAAGCGAACTATACCGACCGAGCGACCGCCGCTTGTCGGCGAAGTTAGTGCCAAATTTAGCGGATAGAGGATGTCGCGTGGTCAACGCAACAAATCCCCACAGACGTTAATTTCGGTTTTCTAGACCGGAGCCGCTATTTCCTTGAAATATCTCCTCAGTTATCATCACAAGGTTAAGTGGACCCCGTTCCAGACCCACTACTTCTCAGAAAAAATGGTAGCGTCGGGAATCGAACCCGTACCTTTGGATATGTAGCCAGCAACTCTGACCACTAGACCACAGAGATGAAAATAGAAATCTCCTTTGTTACCACTACACCATTATGCTTGATTATGAGAGTGATGAGGAAATGGTTGTTATGAAAGAGGGAAGTATGAGGCTAACGCAACAGTCATATTATTATGGGGATGTAAAATTATCTGTGGCTTGTTTGGTGAAAGGGAGTGAAGTATCTGCTAGAACAGGCAGTGCTCAGACAGAGATGAACCATGTACCTGGCAACTGTGGAGATTATATGACTGATACAGTGATTATGAGGATCAGTGATGATAAAGAGAATTACAGATTTGTTGGATGGAAGAAGCTGATAAATGCATTGAGGTATTGCCACAACATTTGTTAGGATTAATGGAGGAAAACTATTAAACCAGCATTTATGAAAATGCAAGAGTAATGGTAGTCAGTTATGATTACAGATCTATATTCACAGTGAATTATTAGACAAAGAAACAACTTTCTTCCTATTTTTGTTTCTGTAAAAGGACTGCTGATTATATTCATTAATAATCTTAGGTGATCTGATTTTTCTAGTTCTGATTCATTCATTCATCAGTAATCTGTCAGACGACAGGTTCACAGTCTCTTCCAAAACAGTTCCTCCACTTAATGCGATCTCAACTTTCTCCTTCAAGTAAAAATATCCTCTTTTGTCCCCAAGGTCATCCAGCATCTTCTTACGTCTTCTTCCTCGTCTTCTTGTCACTTCTATCCACCCCTTTATCTTTCCTTCAGTAACTTCTTTTAGAAGGCAGTTTCTGCGTAAAACATGACCAATCCAATTAGCCTTCCGTTTTCTTATTTCATGTAGGATATTCCTCTGCTCATTGACTCTAAATAACACTTCTTCATTTCTCACATAATCGGTCCAACTGATCTTCTCCATCCTTCTCCAACACCACATTTCGAAGCTTTCCAGGCGTTTCTGATCTACTGCCCTAAGTGTCGCATACATGGTATCTCTGTTTTTTGAAAGAGACTATCCAGGAAAAGTGATAATGTGGTAGTTTTTCCATTTGCTTTCCGCACCGCAGTACAACAGCCGTTCAAACCACTCTGGTCATGCCTGTTGCTATACAAACTTGAACCATCTCGAGCATCATTTGCTCTGTGCTTCAAGTCGCTGCTGATGACACTGCTTCCGGCATCAGTTTTTGGTTTTTGGTGTCTCTCTTCGTCTGATGCCTACCCTTTGACCTGTCTAGGAAGGGAGCCCCTGCCAGTAGCTACACTACCACTGATATAGCTCTCAGGGTCCTTGGCATACTCAGACTCCCTCAGCACAATAAGGTGGAGACACCAATGAGGGGCTAGTTCTGATGCCATTTGATTAAATATCTCTTATGTCAACATTTTGAATGTTCTGATGGATGCTTCTCTGTTGCAGGGTGGTGGTCATATACATGATCTGACGATAGGGTACGATATAAATGGGAAGGATTATGTATTGGACCTTCGCCTAAACAGGTAACTCAAGGTTTTCCTCATAAATCCTGTTATGTGCAGATGATTTATTTACCTGTTCAAGTAAAGCATTTGAATATTAATTATCCTTTCATCTCATGTGTAGTCTTTGAGGGGGCCGGTTTTTGAAAAGTTTCAAAAGCAAAACTCTGAAACTCATGTCCAGCCCAATGTAATATTAATTGACGCATCATAACAGTAGCAACATGATAACTGTAAATCACACAGGACCTCAGTATCCTAATATGTACAGCTTGAAATGAGTCTCATATTTCTTTAATAACATTTTTCTTTTGACAAGAGATAGTATTCAAATTAATCTTAGAGGGATGGGATGTGAGAATATATTAGCTGCCTTGGGATTAGATCCAGTGGGAGACTATTATGTTGATGGTGCTGAATCTTGGGTTTAGTGCCATTGTATTTTTGAAGAACTGGATAGCTTTTGGATGTGGTTGCCCGGATCATTGACTCTAGTCTCATAGGCAACTGTCACTGTTTTGAAGAAACCTGCTGCCAGCCTCTTCATGGTATTTACATTTTACTTTAAATATGGAGACAGTAGGTTCATCCAAACATTAAAAACATGTACAAAACTATACAATGTCATAATCCTGAAGGCCTCCATCTAGAGCTCCTTGACCATGGAACATTAATTCTCATGTAACTGAACGTTTAACCTCTGCTTTGGAAGACCCTTTACGAGGGAGTTGGCTCTGAAAATGTTGCCACCATAATGATTAGGCAGCTGGATTAGAAATGAGATTATTGTGGCATATGTTGGACATCTCATTAACTAGTGCTCTCTGCAGACAGAAGTTACAAAAATCTGTTGTGTTTGGTATGTTACTAAACTTGAGAGGTTCACATTACATATATACATGTATTTTGATCGTTCTGTTCATTTGTCATGCAGGTCCAAATAAAAGTTTTTTGTTCTCATAATAAAATGTTTTCAAAATAAAAAATATTCAGACATAATGAACTGAATTAGCCAGATATGTTAATGTTTTGTTTTTTTTTCAGTATGAAGGTTTGTTTTTGATGCATTGAAAACATTTGATTTTAACGTGTAGGTACATTAGTGTGCATATCTTGTCGCCATTGCAGTATTGATGCCAGGAAAGGAATTTAAATATTGAACTGTTCACAAAGTTCCCTGTTACTTATTTTATTATGAAGGGTATCTAAGAACTTGTAAGTGTCCAGTTTATGGGAAGGTCAATTGATGTTTGTGTATGGTTAGGGTTTTGTAAAATTCCTAACTTTCGCCTCACAATTTGAAATCTTCCCCCTGAGACAAGCAGCAAGTGGCTTGGGTCAAGCTTGAAGCCAGCTGCCCTTTCGTAAATCAGTTAATTTAATGCGTAAAACAAGGCCGAGTTCTTTAGAAATTCTAAACTTGACAGGGGGAGTCATAAATTTAGCAGCGTCGTTTCCTGCTAACCCAAAATCTCAGTTTGACAGCCACGCAGCAGGTGGCAAAGTTCACCCCTAAACTGTACACTAGTGGAGATTCGCTTTCCTAATTGGAGGAGAATGATAAGCAACCTCCCAGTCTGCCCGGTGCAGCCAATCATCATCTGAAGTGGGAGGTCCTTTGCCCAAATTTTGAGTAACCAGGGCAAGTATTTACCATTCAGAGGGTGCTTGGCAAGGAGACTTTTGAAAGTTACGTTCACCAGGGTACATATGTTAGGATCCCTATCAACACGCCCTGAAAGGAATCTAATTGCTCTACCGGAGCTAGCAGAACCGAAGAAAAACGGTTACAAACTGTAACCATATTTTATGAGACTGAAATTCTTGCTCAACCAAATGCATGAGAATGCTATCATAGCCATCTTGGCTTTCTGATATAATCTACCTTAACATTGGCTTGCGTAACTGTGCCAGTGCATGCAGTCTGCGGCTTAGTGTTTTACACTTTAATTTTATGTGGTGGTGTGAATGTAGTTATTGATTTTGTAGACATTCTGTTGAAATTTAAATGATTAAATTAATTTTCACAGTTCTCATGTGCACCGTTTCTTACCTTTTTTTTGTACTCGCAGCAGTAGCAGCAGCAGCAGCAGCAGTAGTAGTAGTAGTAGTAGTAGTAGTAGTAGTAGTAGCAGCAGCAGCAGCAGCAAGAGCAGTAGGAATAGTAATGTGGAAGGCCATGCTTTTTATTCTTGTTTGTCACTGACTGAGACGGGGGTAAGTTTCAGTATGGTTATGACTCTTGTCCACCCACGTGACATTCATAATCTGATGTGGCTTATGAGCGTCAAGCTCCCAGTAAAAGGGAGATCCCAACAGCAGCTGTGCTCACACCACCATGACTGTTACATTTGTCAGAACATGTGATTGCAAAAAGGTGTTTTACCTGGTGTGGGATTAGAACAATTTCAGGCCTAACCTTGAATGACTGAACAGTTGTGTGCAGTTATGCCTGTAGTATTTTATTTTGGGGCGGTGTTCTGTCACAATTTTCCATGACCAGAATTGTTTTTGAGATAAAATGTTTGTAAAACAATGTTTCAGTAACATAAATAATTTGATTTTTTCAGGGAGCTGGTCCCAAAATCATACTTTGAAAGATATCAGCACAATGGGCAACATGTTGTAAATAAACCGACTGGAAAGGTGAGTTGTTATCACAAGTTAATACCTTTCTTATAATTCTGATGTAGCATTTGTTAATTAGAAAATAATTGCTTTTGTCTATTAAATATCATGGTGTCTCTGTTAGTGGTTCCTTTCATAAATTATCACCAATAATGAAAACTTGCTATAGTAGTGTGGGACATGAAGCTGCAGATGCAGTTTGTAAGTTACATGCTTCCCTCACTCTAAGGTTACAGCAGATAATAATAGTTTCCCCCCAAAATTTCTCAGGTCTTCTGTTTTTATTAGTCTTTTCTTCTTCGAGCTTGACAGCTGATTGGCAATTACTGACATTTTATTGAGGTTGCATATAGTGGTTCCCTCATTATGTTTCATTTCAGATCCCACAGGAACTCTTTGTTCCATTTCAAGTTCCTTATCTCCAAAAAAATCATAACTATGTCACCAAGTAACACATATCTGTACATGCACATACATACTGGAAAATGTGTGTGTGTGTGTGTATATATATATTTGTGTATGAACTGTATTGCATGCCTGAATTTCAGAGCAGGAAAGAACACATTTTGTAGACAATAAAGTCATCCCACATGTTAGAGTGTAATGTTTTTTCTTCCTTCATCTTCTTCCTTTGGCTTGATTCTCATGTATAAACTTCTTGATCATTATTTTGTTATATTCATTACCAGCTATTTTACCATTTCTTTTGCCATTAACTTTCTGTTGCTATTATTGTTAGCATTGCTAAATAATCCTTGTGGTTGATACATATCACTAAATTTTATTTGAATCATTTATCATCATCATCATCATCATCATTGCCAAGACCATGAATTTGATACAGACATCACCCTTTCTATGCAAGTGCCCTGTCAGTATGCCAATGTAGTTGACTGATTCTTAGGATTCTTGTTTCATGTTCAGAATATCTCATCTTCACTTCTTGGCCTGAACACTGGTTGTTGCAATTGAAGTGTTTACAGAATGTTTCAGTCCCGCCAGGAATGTGTTGCTTTTGTACCTAAAGTACAAGGTACCAAAGTAAAGCGGCCTCCGTAGTCTAGGGGTAACGTTCCCACCTCGTGACTCGAGGTACGCGGGTTCAAACCCGGTGGAGGTCGTGGAATTTTTAAGGGCGGAAAAATTCAGGGAACAAGTCCTCCGGGAGGGACTTTAAGTCGTGGGTCCCTTGTCATAGCTTTACGGCACGTAAAAGAACCTCATGTCCCAAGGGGACCACTGAGCCAAATTCAGGATATTTCCCACCCAACAGTAGTCTCTAACACCTCTGGTAGATGGGGGAAGCATTGAGATACCGCTGAGCCAGTAGAGGCCGAACTCGCTGGCTGAGTCGGGACTGACGGTACGCACCAGTACCGGTAGGGAATAGAGACTGGTAGAATATCATAGGGGGACGCACAATGGACCAACAGTTGGTCTAAGTGCATGTGGAAACCCACCCTCTCCAATACAATACAATACAAGTACCAAAGTACCGAATATCATCACACCTTCCTCTCACATATTTTCCAATTATCATTCTTTCATCCTTACCATAATCTAAGTCAAGCTGTGGACAAATGTTTTGAGACCCCTTCTTCTGTTTACAATGTATCTGTTTTCTGGTTAACATAGCACAACTTTCAGTCAAGTCTGTTCCTCTCTACAGGATGTTGAATTGTGCCACTACCAGGGGAAGCTCCGAGGCATTCACAAATCATGGGCAGCCATATCTACATGCCATGGACTCAGGTGAGGGGCACATAGTCTGAGATTTGTTTTCAAGACAATGTAAAGTTATTCTGGGTAGAAACGTTGAAGTTATCCCCGTCCTCAGGTTTCACATGATGAGATCGTGCAGGGGAGTAATGCAAATAAATTCTCTTTCATGCTTTCCCTGACTGCTATGTGCAGGCAAGTGGTCAGCTGTATACTTTGGCTGCCTTTGCCTTCCACCTCCATAAATGTATTAATAAGATGCATGCTGCTGACATGAAGTTTAATGCTTTCATACTAATATCTTCTTCATCTATGGTACTACAATGCAGACATTATCTCCTTGACCTCCTCAGCATTGTTTATCCATTGGCAATAAAATGTCTCTTGTCACTTCATTTTAACATTTTCTTTCATATACTTTCAAGAGTTATAGAAGAATGGCCCTGTTTTTTATTATTTATGTTGTTTCATTTCATTTGTATTTAAAATGATTTCTTTAACTGAAAGTTTTTGATTTAGCACAAAAGCAGTGTTCTTCAAGACAAGAGGTCTGAGCACAAAATATAGTACTAACTGCAAGCTTTTTAGTATAGATTTCCACATGAAATTCTATGAAGTTATATAAGTAAATCCCCAGTAGATCTACTCAAGATTTTCGCTTGCTTTTATGGAACCCAAAGCTTTATTTCCATGTTCAAAACAATCCACCACTGGACCCTGTCCTGAGCCAGATGTGCCTCAGTCTTCCAAGAGCTTTCTTCCCTTTGCATATTCCAACAAAAATATTGTACTTATTTGTGATCTTTCCCATGTATGCTACATCTTAGGCCCATCTCATCTGCCTTATGCCATATTTGTGCATTTCAGTGGTGTGATATTTGATGGTGAAGAATTGCATTACTTGGAGAGAGGATCAAATGATGAAGGAGGAGGGGGAGAAGAAGGAGAAGAAGATGATGATGACAATGATGATGATGGCGATGATAATGACAGTAATAGTGATGATGATGGAGGAGAAGAGAATGGAATTACAGCTTTGCATTTCCTCTACCGACATGCCGATGTGAAGGCAAATCAAACTTGTGGTGAGGAAGCTGGGTTTAATTATTTCATACTCATTTAAAATATTTTATTTAGTTGTATGATCTGCACTGAATTCTGCAATTTTTGTCTGTGACATCACTGAATTCACTGTAACTTACTGAAATGCCTTATTAAGA